AGAAAGAGTGTACATTGTATAATTCCATTTGTGTGAAGTTCTAGAACAGACAAAATTAATCTATGGTGGAAAAATACACAGAATTAAGAATGCCTCATGATAGCCAGGGGCAGAAATTGACTGTGAAAGGGCACAAGGGAACTGTAAAAATCTACTGAACTAATATTCATGCTGAAGTATTCGGGAGTGAAGTACTTATGTCTCTAACTTAACTGTGAATGTGTCAAAAATTAAGAGAGATTGATAATCAGAAGGATGAATATATGCATAGATATTCTATCAGGGAAATATAGCAAAATATTCATTGAGGTGGATATATGGATGTTCTCTGAATAATTATTTCAACTGTTATGTATGTTTGAAATTTTTCATAATAAAATATTGGGGAGGGCTTCCCTGGTGGCGCAGTGGTTGAGAGTCCGCCTGCCAATGCAGGGGACGCGGGTTCGTGCCCCGGTCTGGGAAGATCCCACATGCCGTGGAGCGGCTGGGCCCGTGAGCCATGGCCGCTGGGCCTGTGCGTCCGGAGCCTGTGCTCAGCAACGGGAGAGGCCACAACAGTGAGAGGCCCGCGTACCGCAAAAAAAAAAAAAAAAATATTGGGGAAAAAACTGTTTTCAATTCCTCTGCTCTCTCACAATGACTGTACAAACTGGAACTGAATTTGTATAAAGTAAGCCAATAGGGGGTGCTATTTTCAGAATCATGATTTTATCTTTTAAAGAAAAACTCAAAAACCTTAACATGAAAAACAAACCAAACCATTCCTTCTCAACAAAGAATGAATTAAAATGAACAGCAACTTTAGCTTCACATTATATATGTCATAACTCTGGCTCTAAAGAGAGAATTTCTGAATTTCATTCACTGTGCCTCAGCTTAGATGCCTGTTTCCAAGACTAATCATTTAAAGACTGGAATATGCCTTGACTATATAGCCTTTAGCACAAGACAATATATTTGCTGAATTTGGCCTCCCAGGGTGAAATGCAAGGCTCATACAGTGTCAACAAAACAAATCAAAAAACAATGTCAAGAAAAATTCACGTATTACTGTTAAGGATGGGTAGTCACCTAATAGATTACAGATTCAGTGTTTATAGTGTCAAGAAAAAAATTTTGGGTTTCATTACCTTTATCAAGAGATGCCCCAGCCATATGGTAAAAGCTCAACGCAGTGTCTACATCATTAATGTTCTTTAAGAAAGTAAAGAAGTTCTCCACTTCCGGAAATGTCAGACCCTGAAAGAAGAAAGACAGTTAAGTAAGGCAGGAACCTGTACAAAAAGCAGCATAAAAATGCAGAAAACTAGGCAGTTATTCATTCCTATAAATCAGAAATTTCTGCTATGTCTAGAACAGAGACTCAACATATTAGTCAAGGAATGTCAAATTTGTACACAACAGGGGAACAAAACTCTGGTATTTTACCCTGAGAAATGCACGTTGGCTAATTGCTTTCCCCTCATATGTAAAATCTGACATGAAGCTGTTTAAAGTTATGGCTGGATATCTTTAAAGAAAATATTTCTAACTATACCCTCCAATTAGTCACAATATCTGTTGTGACACTTCCTAAATGAGCTGTAGCCACTTGATGTGTTATACATCGTAACAAGTAAGACCCATCAGGACTTTCATTTTAATAATCTACTCATAGGCCAGTCAAGCTTTTTGAGGCTTAAGCTAATTGAAGAAGCACCAAAGTCAGTAATATACATGGGAACGGTTTCAGCATTTAGCAGAACCCAAGCAACTGGGAAAGTTTTTCATTATCTCAATTTAAAAGCTACTAATGAAGCAATTTGCCATGTAACTTTAAACTGATGAAAGTCTGTGAATGAGGAAATTCTTTTCAAAAGCTGGTCAAAGATTTGCTGATCTTTGATGCTACTTTCTATGATGGCTCAAGAGAGTAGTTGGATAAACAGGGATTAGAGGGAGGAAGATTTGTCCTATATGCCTATTTCCCATTTCTCACACATCATGCTGTGATGGAAATGAATACAATCTCTAAGAAATGAGTAACACTGGGGAGACACTGAGGTTAACGCCTTCTAACGAAGCATCAGGTCCTTTTATGGACTGCAGATGTTGACGGGCTTCTACTCAGTAATGATCCTCTTCCGATCTCCATTTCCCAAAACTACAGAGCCCAGGAATCCACATCAGTAACTCAGTAAAAAGGAAACCTTAATATAGACAATCTATAGCACATTCCTGGTACTCTCCAAACTGGCCAATGGTATCTTTCTCATTTCATCAATCAATCTAAAAGCTAAAATACTGTGTGTATGATTATGTCACATGATCGTTTTAGTTTTTCTCCTTAGAATCAGAGAACTTAAAATTTTTTTAATTGTGGAATATGATGACCATATAGAAAGGCGCATAAAACAAACTGTTGTAAAATGAACACCCATAAGATCTCAATTCAGGTCAAGAAACACAATTATCAGCATCCCAGAAATCTCCCTCTCTTCCCCAACGTGACTCTTCCCAGTTATGAGCCTCTTCTCCCAGTGATAACTACTGCGACTTTTAGAATATTCATTTCCTTGCTTTTCATAAAAAATAGCTTTACTATCTATTTATGCATCCTTAGACATATGTTTAAGAAGTTTAAGTATGTCTGTTTAATTTTATAAATGGAACCATGCAATATGTATTCTATTATATATGGATTCTCTCTTTAAGATTTTTCAATGTTTTTGTGTATATCTGTAGTTCATTCATTTTTACTGCTGTAAGTATTCCATCGTGTGACTATCTATTCTATTTGGGCTATTTCCAGTTTTTGGCAATTACGAACAGTTGTCCATCTGTATTTAAGCATTCATTCAAACATTTATGGAGCAACTACTATATACCAAGCTCCATAACTTTTGGCAGTGAAAAAGGCCTATATTAAATAATTCTGCCCCAACTTGAGGTCATTCTCTTAAGGTCATTCTCAGAGGTAGGGTTCATTCCTTGTACAAATGCCATAGTATGCTATCTAATGTAAGCACTAGGCTAGAAACAACATTATAAGAGGGAAGAATTCCACTGGATCAGAAGCACAGGTTTTACAATATCACCTGCTTGTGGATGGATACACTAATACCATCTTCTCTTCCTCTCCATCTAAAGATGTGCAGAGGTGGGAACAACCCAAGTGTCCATTGATATATGAATGGATAAACAGAATGTGGTGTATACATATAATGGAATAGTATTCAGCCTTTAAAAGGAAAGACATTCTGACACATGCTACAACAAGAATGAACCCTGAAGACATTATGCCAAGGGAAATAATCCAGCCAAAGGACAAATGCTGTATGATTCCACTTATACGAGGTACCTAGAGCAGTTAAATTCATAGAGACAGAGAGTAGAATGGTGGTTTCCAGGGGTGGGCAGCAGGGGATAATGGGGAATTATTGTTTAATGGGTATGGAGTTTCAGTTTGGGAAGATGAAAAAAGTTCTGGGGATGAATGGTGGTGGTGTTCTTTGCACAGCAGTGTGAATGTACTTACTGCTACTAAACCATTTAAAAACGGTTAAAATGGTAAATTTTGTTATGTATATTTTACCACAATTTAAAAAAAGACACGCTAAAGCTTTTCTACTTCTTTTTATTAGGGTGTGAATTTCCACAGGCGAGGTAAGGATAGGGGTCTGAGTTTATGAAAGGGTTTTTAAGGCTAAAAGGTTGACATAAAATTCCTAAAACAGAAAGGGCATGGTAAAGGAATTGCATCCCACTCTGATAAACAACCTCTGATGTATGTTAGTTAATTTATTGTGAAATATCAAATGCTCAAGACCACAGTGCTTATGTTGAGAATTATTTGAGAACATAGAAGAATCTGAACTGAGTGGTTATTCATTTGATGATTTAGAAAAACAGTGGAATACAACTCATACTATGCCATTATTAAATAAAAATGTGTAACATTTTGCCTTTTATTACATAGATATAATAAAAAATATTTATCGAGCACTATGCCAGGAACAGTGAGGAAAATAAGATTACACTGGACATGGGCCTCCTTAAAGAAAAGATGATGCCATTCACGAAATTCTTATTTCTTGGTAATTACCTTAGTAAAAAATCCAGAGGTCTATTAGAATAAAGCTAGAATAAGACTATAGCATGAGGTTCGTGGATAGAAAGTGCAAAGATAGTCTTCTTGCAAGTTGAGTTGCTCAGACTTAGAAGGCTATAGTTTAAGCACAATCTATTGTCAGGTGACTTGAACTGCACACATAGTAGTGAAAAGGAAATATCCTTCTCTGAGGCTTGACATTAAAGGGATTTTTTTTTTTTTGACATACTATGGCAAAGTGGAAGAAGCAGGAGTTATTTTATTCTGTGACTAACTGTTCAACAAACCAGTTATCTATCTATCTTTGGAAAGAAGAACATATATAAGACTGGGCTCTAAATAACTAAAAAAAGAAGATAAAATTAACAGTACTTTGACAATAGAAGTACTTCTTTATGTTGTTTAAAAATGAATTTAGCATTAGAGAAGTTGTTAAACAAGCAAATAGAATTGCCTTTCAAAACTAAAAGCAACTGATAAAATGTTTAGGAGAAAACAGAAAATCTTCATGACCTTGGGTAAGGCAAAGAGTTTTTAGATATGACACCAAATGCACAATCCATAAAAGAAGAAAAATTGATAAATTAGATTTCATCAAGATTAAAAACTTTTGTGCTTCAAAATACTGAGAAAATAGACAAATCACAGATTGGGAAAAAATATTTAAAAATCATATATCTGATAAAGGATTTGTATCCAGAATTATATAAAGAACTCTTACAACTCAATGAGATCATAATAATAACCCAATTAAAAAAAAGATTTGAATAGACGTCTTCCAAACAAGATATACGAATGGCTAGTAAGTACATGAAACAATGCTCCGGATCATCATTCATTAGGGAAATGCAAATTAAAATCACAATGAGATACCACTACATACTTATTATTGGGTTGGCCAAAAAGTGCCTTTGGTTTTCAAGTAAAAATAAAAGACACATTTTTCATTTTCACCACAAACTGTATTGAACAACATATTCACCATTTTGTTCCACTACCTTCTGCCATTTTTCAGGCAACTTCATAATTCCATCTGCCCAAAACTTTTTTTTTTGGTCTGCATTCAGTCTTCATTGCTGCGTGCCAGCTTTCTCTAGTTGCGGCGAGTGGGGGCTACTCTTCATTGCGGTGCGCGGGCTTCTCATTGCGGTGGCTTCTCTTGTTGCGGAGCATGGGCTCTAGATGCGTGGGCTTCAGTAGTTGCAGCACACTGGCTCAAGAGCGCATGGGCTTCAGTAGTTGTGGCACGCGGGCTCAGTAGTTGTGCCTCGTGGGCTCTAGAGCACAGGTTCAGTAGTTGTGGAGCACAGGCTTAGTTGCTCTGTGTCATGTGGGATCTTCCCGGACCAGGGATCGAACCCGTGTCCCCTGCATTGGCAGGCGGATTCTTAACCACTGCACCACCAGGGAAGTCCCTTCCCAAAACTTTTAATCTTTTTGAGCAAAGAACTGTTCCAGGTGCCTTTTATAGTCTTCCATGGAATTGAAATTTTTTCCATTAAGATCTGAATAAATGGAAATCCGAAGGTGCAATGTCTGGTGAATACAGCAGATGAGTTGGAACTTCCCAGCCAAACTGTAACAGTTTTTGCCTGGTCATCAAAGGAACATGTCGTCTTGAGTTATCCTGATGGAAGATTATGTGTTTTCTGTTGACGAATTCTGGATGCTTTTCATCCAGTACTGCTTTCAGTTGTTCTAATTGGGAGCAGCACTTGTTGTAATTAATCGTTTGCTTTTCCGGAAGGAGCTCATAATAGAGGACTCCCTTCCAATCCCACCATATATACACATCACCTTCTTTGGATGAAGACCGGCCTTTGGTGTGGTTGGTGGTGGCTCATTTAGCTTACCCCATGATCTCTTCCGTTCCACATTATTGTACAGTATCCACTTTCTTTTTTTCTTCTTTTTTTGTGGTACGCGGGCCTCTCACTGTTGTGGCCTATCCTGTTGCGGAGCACAGGCTCCGGATGCGCAGGCTCAGCGGCCACGGCTCACAGGCCTAGGCGCTCCGCAGCATGTGGGATCTTCCCGAACCAGGGCACAAACCCGTGTCCCTTGCATCGGCAGGCAGACTCTCAACCACTGCGCCACCAGGGAAACCCTACAGTATCCACTTTTCATCGCCCATCACAATTTGTTTTAA